GACTATTACACGTAGGTGTCTTCCCACGAGAAGCATATGATGGATTCTCCCAGGAAAAAGCTCCATGAGCGATGCTTTGGTGCCTGTTCTGCTCAATGATGTTTTCTGCTGGTAGCTAGGAGCTGACTCCCTGCTGCTTCTCTAAACAGACAACTGTTTCTATAAGCAAGTTACAGAAAATTAGGTGCTTGTCCAATATACCTGAGAAAGAAATTGCCATTTGTACCATCTTTTAGATAAGTACAGGGAGATTTCAGAGGTAAGTATCTTTTGGGGAGATCTTAAATGGCTTGAAAAAAAGAGCTTATTGATGATTTTCATTTTTGGCAAGGTTATTTAAAAATAATGCTCACAAGTTTTTGGGGAGCTTAGGAGGGTTTTGGGAAGTGTGAAGTGGAATTTGGGGAGTATTATGGAGAGGATTGCTAATAAAAATTCCTTCTCTAAATATTAGTGACAACTGGCAAAGCTTTGTTATTAGTTACAGCTGTGGATGAAAACAGATTAATTTTGATAGTATCTTTTGAAAATGACTAGGGAAAGGATTTAGAAATCTCTGGAAAATTGAAACTCATATGTAAGGTTCACATAGCCAGTCAATTATTTTAATATATTTTATAAAAGGAAAAAGTTATCCTTCCTTCTAGAAAACTAATATAGTCAATGGATTTCCTGTAATATATCTTTTAATGGCTTTATTATGAATAACCATGGCAACAATAAAACAGAGCTCTGAGACCAGCATGAAGAATAATGATTCATTCAGAGTCCAGACACTTCCATATATTCATCAAGAATATTAAACAATGAGAACAGAAATTCTGAGAGCCTGGAAAGGAGAGCTGAGAAGTGCACGAAGCAGAAGTAAAAGTAAGCAGGGAGGATTAAGCAGAGATTTTCATCATGAATTGATCTGTTACAATATTTTTTTAAGTAAAATATAAAAAGGGATGTCTGAGTAGTAATGGAGCAGCACAGGAAGTTGAGTTCCTGACTAAAAAGGCTTCAGAAACCATGCTGGGGTAATGAGGCTCTGTTGTTCCAAATCAAGAGTCTCTTTCTCTTGCTGTGAGATGAGCTACTCAGAGGCCATCTTTAGTAACAGCGGCTGTGCTCTCCTACAAGTTTATGCATTGTTATGAAAATCATTACTGCATGACGTTGCTGGGGCCCTATGCATTAGTTCTCTCCAGACCATGTGTGTGTTACTGTCATCACTTACTACTGATCTATAGATGCATAGATGGTAGGATCTAGAGGATTTCTTTTTTTTTTTTTTATTTGCTTTGCCCAGTTGGTAATCCAATAAAACTGAGGGAGGAAGGGTAAGGAGATTCTGCTGTTCCATGAACTTGGCAGGCAATTTTAGTAGAATCCTTCTCAGATTTGCACTGAACTTTTTTTTTTCCTTTATAATTGATACTTTCATACTAGAAAGACAAAAAATTGCATGCGCTTAATGCTACCTTTCTGACTTACTTCAAGGAAAATCAATAGTACATGGTTAGATGTCATCTGTGTTGTTTGACCTCAATACGAAATTATGAAATTGTTTCCTTTGAGAAGTGAGTGCTCATCCAAGAATGCTGTAATACTGATTAAATGATCAAATATTTGGCAGTTCTTCAACCTTGTGTGTGTGAAAAACGGAGAAACTTAAATCTCACAGGAAATACTAAATAGACGAGGACAAAACTGCAAATGGTTGTCCATTCTCTCTATTGTTAAAGGGCTAATGCTGAATTCTTTCACAGTTGCTACTCCAATTATCTGAGAACTTTAGAAGACTTTCAGAAGTTTTGATTACAGCCAATGGCATCCTAAACTGGGCTAGGAATAAAAGGATGTTACACAGGTCGTGAATAATTGAGGAGGTTTCTGTATGACAATGAGGTGCCTTATGAAAGGCAAATGTCTGTTTGCTGTGTGCGCACATCTGCTCCTATTTATTCATATTTATAGGCAAATTCATGTGCTAATATGTTTTCAAACACTGAAACACAAACTATCTGTTGGTGTAATTGGTTAAAATTCTACTGAAGTCCAGTAGAACTGTATATGCTTATACCAGCTTTGAAAATGGTTGTAGGTTAAAAAAAAAAATTCCAGATACACGGTCGTGCCTTTGTGTACATACATACCAAATCAGAAGTCCTCGTTGAGTCATTGCATTATTCATAGCTCCTCTCTGTCTGGATTTGGAAAATATACAAATATAAACAATAAACTGAAGCAGTACCAGATTAAATCGAAAACATATAGTTCCTTCCTTTTGGTTTTCTCCTTAAAATCTAAGGAGCGTTCACTCCCCCTCTCTCTGCTAAAGCCGAGGTCACAAAATGCTCCCAAATCATCCTGATGCTGAACCTCAGAGAATAGCCTAATGAGGAGCATCCTTAAGGATAACTAGTATCTAACCTTCATCAATGGACACGTTGAAGCCTTCGTTAATGACGGGTCAAAGCCTCCCTATTGACTTCTGGCAAACCCTACCCTCACTTCCAAAACTCACTCAGATCGCTAACCAGTCAAAAAAGCCTAGAGCTGTCATTCAGAAGACCTGCTCATTTATCACTGAATGAATTGCTTTGGACTTTGTTAGGGGACCTTTATCTAGGAAATGTGCCCACTTTCACAGGGAATAATCTGACTCCTTCTTGACTTAGCCTGTCTAGCTTTCCGCTTATTAGGCACACTTCTGATGCCCTAGATCTGGATACTTTGTATTCTCATGAAATAAAATTGTACCATAGATATTTCTTAAAAAAAGATCAAAAAGCTCCTCAGTCAATTGACATAACTTCTTTTACCATACCACCAGCTGTCCAAGATTCAGATAATCTGTAAAACGTGGACTCCATGGCTATGTTAAAACCTGCTGTTGCTGATGATGGGGCCTGTAGATTGACTTATTTTCCTATTGAAATATATGTGAGGACCATAAACCATTATGGGCAGATAATGAAAATAAGGAAATCAATAAAAGATTTAAAATGAACGCAGTGATTTTGCCTTTTCTGAAGTAAAGGCATTCCGCAGAGGAAGAGAGATAAACTGAAAATATCCATAGATTAAAACTCAGATCCCGGAAAAGCCAAGAAAATTATTGGAAGAGGGAAATACTACAAGCTTTAAGCAGCATAAACACTTATTAAATAAATAAATATGCCCCCTCTGGACAGTTGGTGCTATTGCATCTAGTAAGATCGAAATAGAGGGAATACCCTCCACCTGTGTGTTACCAGCAAAAGTGGAGATTTTCACACCATAACATTATGAAGAGATAATATGGGGTAATCAAGATAACTGTGGGAGCAGTGCTATAGCTTTGGTAAAGCAAGTTGCAACACTGCTAAGATGTTATTTGAAGAAAGCTCTATCTAATGCAAATGGTTGATGGTGTCCCACAGTGTAATGTCATTTGCTCAAGAAATATGATATTGTCTTTGGTTTCCTCCAAAATGTGAAGTAAGAGATAGGAGGTACAGTTGTCACTTTATAACCTTAATAGAGGAACAAAGAACTTGTATGCTTGTAAGAAGTATGCTTGCTGAGCATGCCATCGAATAATATTTTTTTTCTTCTTAAACGTCTTCATAATTAAACATACTGATATTGTAGTTCAGTTATTAAGGTTTTTAGAAGAAAACACTTGATTTCATTGCTAACATTCATCTGGGATGATGACAACAGGATATTGTCAGTATTATTGTATTAGAATGTGCTTAATTAAACCTGATTGCTTCAATGACGTTTTCTGTTTGTGCTCAGTTTAGGCAGTGTCATAAGGGAAGAATTCTCTGCTTTGTGCTCTCTGCTCATATTTTCTTCTGTGTTTGAACTAATACAGATTGAATAGTACTGTAATCCTTGTATCATGTCATAAAATTCTGTAGCCTTCCTGAAGGAATAAAGCTTTTGTCCACATAAGGACAGCAGAACCATTACCTAGCATTGATTTTTGTTTGTTTGTTTGTTTGTTGGGGTTTTTTGGTTTTTTTTGTTTTTGTTTTTAACACATTCTTGAAATAATAATGCATAGCTGTGTAGAGTATGTTTGCAGAGTTGTATAAGCAGTGGAAGAAGACAATTAAGTAAACTAATGTCATAGATTATAAAATCAGATTAATATCTAATCCTTTACTTCCATAACATAGTCTAGAGGATTATCCTTAATCAGCTTCTGCTTGAACTGCAAATGTATTTGACAACTCAGTCCTGATTTTTAAACTTTTGGTTATGGCAGTACCACCCAAACTCTTGATAAGTTGCCTAATAAAATATTCTTGTTGCTTGAAAATGCATTTTAAGCAAAATCTAATGTGATCTTTATTAGAATGAGATACTATTGTTTTATTTTGGGATTTCTTGATCATCTCGGGTTTTTTTGTTTGTTTGTTTTGGTACATGTTGCCAAAGTTCAATAGTCTACATAGCTTTTCTTAGAAAATTCTGTAACTGAAGTGAGAGAAATAGTCGTAGTTGTCCAGCAGTGACTGGTCTCACTGATGCTTATTTCTACTTGGTATTTTCTGTCCTATGCATATAAGATTATATTAATAGTTGATTACTGTGCTGTATTAAAAGCTGCAATGAATTTAAATGTTTCTCAATGGTATTGACACTCTCATAGAAACAGAATATAGATCTGAAAGCTAGAAATGCATGGAGTGATTTCTAAATGCACTTTCTGTAATAACACCTTTTAATTCTTTTCACTTTCAAAGTTCATGGATTTTCTTGCATCTCAGGAGTTGTCAAATTTGGCATATGTTAAAGAAATTGAAGTCAAATAGTCTTTGAAACTCAGCAAAAGTGTGAGACTAATTAGTATCTATAAACTGATGAATTAGTAGTATGGAAATAATTGATGTCCTCAGAGTTTTCCAGTCTTTTAAAATAAAATATTGCAATTATTGCTATGTAAATTATGCCACCGAATGTTCACAACATTTGCCTCTAAAGAGAAGCTAAAGGAATCTATTGGGTTTTTTTTGCAGATTTTCAGAAGATGTTGGTTGGTTTTCAAGAAAGCTTCTAGCAAAGGACCCAGGAGGCTAGAAAAATTTCCAGACGAGAAGGCAGCATATTTCAGGAACTTTCACAAGGTAAATCAAACTCTTCTAGTGAAATGAGGCACTGTCTGTTTACCCACTCTTCCTTGGGAAGAGCATATTCTTGCTATGTCAAGTTTGCGAATACTGCAGGGATCAGGTTGAAAAGCATAACCCTGACACAAAAAGCACAGTAAAACTTCTGCAAATATCAGTGGTGCAGGTTAGATCTGACGTTGTTTGTCTAGATGAGCAAAAAAACACAGTTTGGGTGTGGAAATAAATTGATGATTTTTCTTTAGTGTTACCTAGAAAATACTACCTTTTCATGTAGTATATTGGAAATGTGCAAATTTGACTGCTTAATCGAATGTTTAACTGCTAGTTATTTATTAAGTATAAAGCTAGTTCTGAAGATGCTGAGTGCCTCACTTGTCATGTCAACACTAGTTGAATATGTAACAGTTTTCCCAGAACTCTTCAAGTTTTGTAAGCTCTGTCAATAGCATATCTTTTTAAGGGTAAAAATTTAGCCTTTCTAGAACACTATTCACTGAATAAGATTCTTGCTGCTCTCTTGCCACTATCACTTCAGTGATGGAAAGCAAGGGATTTTTCTTTCTGTCTTGTAAGGTACTGTTATCAGGTCCTCAAGTCGAGCCTGACTTGAAGCTTCAAGTTAGGTAGCAATAAGATACAGCAGTGCTCTATGCTTCTACAGTTTGGACTTCTATTACCTTACAGCTGGCAAATTGAAACACAGAGATGATTTAACTGAAGTTAGGCACCAAGCAGTGACACAGTATGGATGAAAGTCCAGATTTGTTGAAGCCAGGACTAATGCTTTTTATCATAAAAAAAACAAATTAACCTTTGAGTTTCAATAACCGCATGGCATCTTTAAATGAAAAGCTTGCATGTAAAAAATGGCATACAATTATCTCTTTGACATTTTCTGATAACAGCAACAAAAGCCCTGTTAATTTGGTATAATCAAAAATCCAACTTCTGTTTTGACATTGGTGTTAGGGTTTAGAACTGATATGTACTGGACAGCTGGTGCTTTCACTAATGGAAGTCAGCAACATTTCCTCCCATGTGTCCACATGAAGGAAAAATGATCCTTCTCTTCAACATAAGTTGCAAAAACTAATTACTTTCAAGGTGGAACTTGGTGATGAGCCTTTAGAAGGATTATTTGGTTCATTTGTGCCTGATAGCTCTAGGTATGGCTGAAATCCCAAGGAGATCCACTACAAAGTTCTTATGGATTAGCAATAGGGCAGAAGGACGAAAGTGTAGGGTGTTTTTTGTTGTTGTTGTTGTTGTTTTGTTTTTTGGGGGCTAGGTGGAAGGGGGATATTTATAGAATGTGTTACTAATATTGTTCTTTTATACAACAAGATTCAGAAACACTTTATGTTGCTTGACAACGATCATCTTTGTAGAAAAATCAGGAGGTATGCAAGAATCATTTGAGAAGCTGCAAAAATAACAGGCATAGATGCAGCTGGGTGCAGCTGTAGTGCTGATGGAAGCTTGCCTTAGCATGGCCCTTTTCATGTGACACAGGCAAATATAAAGGATGTTACATTTCTTTTTCATCTTTTTTCCTCTTATTCCGTGCCTCAACAGAGGGGAAAAAATTGAGTGGAAAGAATAATCTTTCCTATTTAAAATGATATTGAATTTTTGGCTGTGCAGAAGAAAGAAATGTATCCATTCGCTGGGATGATATTCCCATTCTCAGTTGAAGTCATGGAATAATTTTGTACTGTATATTATCAAAAAACCAGAAACCCTGATTCTCATCTTTGAGGCATTTCACCTCCACTGTGATAGATGAAATAGTGGTAAGATGTCAATGAGTTATTAACAGCAAGTGTGACTGTTTTTCGAAACTGTAGTGGTCAGTATGGGAGCAAATACAGTTATTTGATTGCTGGTATTGGATCAACATATCCTGATTCTCTTTCTTTTCTGGAGTTGCTTATTTTTGTGTTGCGTTTTGAACTAGTTCAAAGTTGTTGATTGTTATACAATGCAAAAGCTTAGCATAGCTTTGAAATTCTGCATTTTTCTTGTTTACTCACAAAATATCCTGGAAGGAAGACATCTGGTGTGCAAAATTAAAGAAGGGTAACTCTGAACTCTAGGAAACAAAAGCAAGAGAAAATTAATTCAAAATTAAGAAACCTTGTGTTTAAAGAATATTGAAATAGTTGTTCTAGACTTAGCTCCTTATGAAAAGGCAACATATTTGAAATGCTGAAAATTTCTGACCGTGTGCTAATATTCATATAAGTATTATATGTGTCAACACAGAGATCCCTGTTTTCAATCAATCTCTTTATATAACAGGTAGAAAAAAGAGGGTGGTGCAGAGCCGGCTTCAGAGCCTGCTGAGACTCTTAGCAATTTGTGTCCTTCAGATTGGTCTGTGTTATCTTGGGAGAGCACATAGTCTGACTACGTTGTTGTATGCAGGTTTTCTAGCTTTATCATATGAAGGGTTACAGGAGGGAATTTTACCTCTCAAGTGGAAACAGAACAAAAACTAATACCTTTGTCCTACCTGTATTCACATCAGTATCCAGGAATACAAAAAAATCCCCGTGGTAGTTTTTGTCACTGCTGTGTATACATATACGGTAAGTAACTCATCAAGAGCTTAAGCATCTCTGCTTTTCCAGTGGCTATTTTGGCTTGAAATGTAGCTCAAATCAAGTTCCTGTTTAAAAACACTTCGCCTACATGGCTAAATGCCCAGTACACAGGTTAATCCTATAAGTGTAGGAGACAGTGTGAATTATAGAAAGGCCTTTAGGCTAAAAAAGGAGGGAGAAAAAAAGACATGTACTGCAAAGCGAGGAAAATGAAAAATACATGTCATCTGGTTTGCATATCCTAAATAAATATGTAGAGATAAGCTGGCCTCACTTTAGAAAATGGACTTCTTTATTTTATGATATTCAGACAATATATGGGTTCACTTTTTATTCCATAAATTCTGTAATGCTGTTATGCATCACTTTGTGTTTTCTAGTGGTTTTCTTGGTATAAAGTATTATTAAATTTAACAGTAATGGTCTTAGCCCTTAGAGATAAGTGCCTCCTGACAGTAACAGTGAACAGTTCACTCCTTAGTTGAAACATGACTTCAACTGCTAGTTCCGTCTTCTGGCATCAAACTCTAACTTCTCATTACTGTAATACCATACAGAAAAATCACTCTTTTTCTCCTGCCTTTTTACTTAGGTACAAATTTGAGGCAATATGTAAATGAAATATTTAACTAGTTTTATTTTGGAATGTAATATTTGGTCTCTTACTGCAATAATTGATCCTTTTTTAATAAATTGAAAAGCCTGTATGAAATGGATACAGAATACTCCTAAAAAGAGATATAAAATCAGCAAAAATCTTCACAGTGAAATCAAGCTGATAGTTACTGTCCTAGAAACTTAAGCTAAGCCTTAAGAATAAAAAAAGGTTTATTAGACACAGATCTTATCTAAGGTTACAAGAAAATCATTTTCTTAATTATACTGTTTTAGAAGAAGCTTTTTTCTGTGGGAGGGTGGGTTTTTCACCCCTTTTTGTGGATTTATTATCATTATTATTAGTAGTTCTATTATGATATACAAACTTTTTTTTTTAAAAATGGGCTAAATTGAATTCAGTACTCTCTTGCTGTGCTAAGTTATAGCTTAGGTGTACTGTTGTCCCTTGAACGTTCCTTGTAGAGATTGTGGTTCAGAACAGCAGTATTTACTCCCATTACTCTTGGGAGGACATAAAATACAGTAGCTCTATAGACATCCCAGTTACCCCAGTATATAGAATGAACATATGTCATATTCTTGAGAGCTGTTCCTACAGTAGTGTATAAAGCCAAAAAAGAAACCATATTTTTCCCAGCTTGTGGAGTTCCTATAAAGATTCAGGCTTTTGGAGACGTACTGATCGGACAGTACTACTGCCTGTTATCCATTAGGAGAGGCTCGCAAGAGGATAACAGGAAGTCAATGTGGCTAAGTAGCAATGTGAGGAACGTCATTAGAAACAAGAGATCGAACCTCAGAAACCTGGCATGTATCCAAACAAGCTAGAAGGGAGAATAAAGTTAGGCAAATCAATTCTAAACCAAAAAAGAACCTGAAGAGCAACTAGTGATCAAATCTGGTTCTAAGTACTCATTTTGACCCATCAGGATCGGGGAGCAAAAGTCTACCAAAGACTCTGTATGCCCAAATGACGCTTGGCATATGAAAGAAACATGGAGGGAAGAGAGTACAAATGAGGCCTTTTGCGCTGGAATTTACTGTACAGGAAACTGGTGTGGTCTGGTGGGGGGATGCAAGAAAGGAGTCTGCAGAGACATCTTTGTATCATAAACTGGTCATAGATACTTCAACCCCCGGTACACCAGATGGTCACTAACAAATTATGGAGAACAAGAGCTGAAAGAGAGCTTAAGGATGACATAGCTGAAATACTAAAGGTAGCCCATAAACTCCAAAATGGGAATGAGAAGGTGTGAACTCTTCCATTCCTTACCTTGCTGTGTAGCTCTAGCTTGTGAAAGCTGTAGTCCAGTTAATGTTCAGTGCTCTTTCACTTAATAAGTTCACTAACCCTTACATCTAGTGAAGCTGTTGTGAGGTGGGTCTGCCTCCAATATGGCTGTCTTAGAGCACCCAGAGAAGCTTCAACCTGCCAATGTTGGCATGCTTACACTTCGATTAAATAAATGATGTCTAGCGTAGACTTCAGGACTTACCGATTTAATCCTCCCAGAGACTGTTCTGCTAAGACTTTGTCAGTAACAGCCATCTCTAGGTTTTGTGATCTTTTACTTCTAAAAGTCAGTTTTGCATTAACACCGTGTTCAGTGACGGAGATGAACCATAAATGACTTTCCTGTTTTGCATCCTTCTTCCTGCCTCTGCCTTGTTTCTATATGCTCGGTTTAGTTTTGTATTTGCTATCTGATTTATGGTGTTGTATTGTTTAAATATTAGACTTACAGGTTATCAACTGGGATGGATTGA